CCCTGTATGATTTAAGGAACCCTGTTTAGGGTGTAAGGCTTTGAGACGTTTGGAGGGCCGTCGCAAGGGGGACCTACGCTATCGGATCTCTGTCAGCGACGACTAAACCCCAAAACTCTGATCGAGAACCCCATAAATACTTAACGACATGTATAGCAAACTTATATGAACCAACACTTCAAAGGACCCTCAAGCAACACGAACCCCCAACGCCCAAGTTAGATTTTGCAGTCGAACCCTACCGGCAGCCCAAAAAACCTATATCTTCACTTTGGAAACATACACAAGCAAATCCTAAACCCTAAACCCTTAACCGAAAACCCTAAACCCTAGACCCATGCTCCGAGGATTCAGCACATGTGAAGTACATGAGGCCTCGAGGATAATTTCAGCCTCAGGTTTCAGGCTTTCTAAACCCCCAAACCCTAAAGCCTAAACCCCTAAACCCTAAAGCCCTAAAGCCCAAACCCCTCAACCCCAAACCCTAAACCCCTAAACCCTAAACCCCAAAACCCCTAAACCCGTAACCCCAGAAGACTTTAACCCTGTCAGGTTTCGGGGCTAGGGTTTGCGGCCCAAAGTTTGGCCTAAGGGCCTCCCTAAACCCTTGACCCACAGAGTTTAGGGCTTGTTTCGGGTGCAAGGGTTTTGGGCTGAGGGCTTAGTTTAGGCGTTTAGGGTTTAGGGTTGCAGGGTGTAAGGTCTACCACATCTCATCTGACAGTCATCGCTCCCTGCTGTGGTGGTCTGTCGATCGGCAGTCCCATCAGTGACCCGTGTGCTGCTCTAACCGATGACAAGGGCACCGCTGCGGGTCCTGAACTATTGGTTTCGGTGGGAGTGCTGAGGTTTAGGTACGGATTTCTGGACGTAGCATTTGCGAGTTTGGACTTGGAGTGCAGGATTCCCGGTCTGGAATATTTATAGGACTTATCACCATTTACAGGTAGTTTGGGTTCCTTCAGCGGAAGGGGCCTTAGTACCTGGATTGGTATTTCGGGTGTGATTCCGGTGTGAGGGGATGCTATTACTACTTCTTCGGGCCCCTGCGTTGGGGAAAAGGACCCTGGTTTTCCATTATGATGGCGCACCCGCATGAGGGTTTGAGTTCAAGATCATCCCTACCTGGATGCTAGGCGCCTACCTTTTCAAGTCGAAATCAGAGAGGAACCCGTGAAAATCCGAAACACTCTGGTTCTTAGGGTTCAGGACCAGGACACACGGAAACCGAAAGTTGTCTTGAAGGGTTGGTTTTCCCGTGATGTTCGAGCTGAGAAAGAACCAAGTCGCATCAGGCGACTCGGCCACAAGTAGGTAAGAAGTGCCTACTCCACTGCAGAACCTTTTCTGATTAACCAGGTTTTAGGTTCCTGTAATGTTACAAATGCTCAACCCGGAATTACAATGGATACAAAGGTAGACCCGAAGCCCGCCGGCTTCCACGATTTATGGTTTCAGGTTGGAATTAGGACCTTAAACCTCGAGCTACCTGAGCTTCGAAATCCTCGCATTCCAAGATCTCACAGTAAAATCAGGGGACCTGAAGCCGTCGTAGTTCGACCCTCGACCCTCAACCCCTACTGAAACCTTGATACCGGAGTACTCATCCATGCGCAACAAGCCCGAGTCGTGTTGGGGCTTGAGATGCATACTCGGGCGGCGAAGCCCCGCTTAATTGCTAAGCCGTACATCTGCAAAATGCAGGAACTTCGTCAACCTAAACCCTGGCATGAGAAACCTTGCAGCCCCAAAGCTCTGCAAAGCCTCGAACCCTAAACTCTGCGCTCTTCAAATTTCTAAACAACCTAACCTCTGAATTCTTCAGAGGCTCCATTAAGGAGCCACGGGGCCAAGGCAGCAGCCGAGGTTTCAGGAATGTTTTGAGCAGCGGGAAGTTTCTGCGGGCAAACCTCGCCGGACCATTCGTTCGACAGAGCTTCCGGAGGCTTCGCCGCTGTGTGTTCAGGCCTTTTGGGCTTTAGTTGCTGAAGGTTTTCTGTGTGGGTGGGTTAAGGTATGATTTAAGCCAGGTTGTTGGGTTTGGGGGTTATGAGGCTTTAAGGTTTGAGGGCTTAGGGCATTGGGATTTCGGGTTAGAAACTTGCAGCCTTCAGCACGTTTCGGCACAGGGCTTCGAATTGCAGGGGCTTACGCAGAACGCACGGGACCCGTGCCCGTTCCTTATGCGGGCCAGTGGAATACGACTCGTAGAAGTTCGGCAACTTCGATCTATCATAGCCTCAACCTACTTCCCATATTGAGGCTCATAAGGTCCGAGCACATTATATACATATCCCTATCCATGTCTGCCTGCAAATACACAAAAAGATAAATGACATGTGTACTTATATATATATACACATAATATATATATATATAGAGATGTATACATATATATATATATATATGTAGATATGTAAACCATCGCCCTAGGGCTCAAAATAGCCTGGCAGCCTTACCATGTGGTCTCGGAGCCGGGAGAGTTGGGCATTAGCCTTCGGAGCCTGAGGGTAAGCCCGAAGTGCCCTGCGACATTGAACTGAACATGGAAGCTGTAAGCCTAGCATAGGTGCCTTGGTGATTTCAACAGTGTTCTGGGGTGAATATGCTACTGAAACTACATCCCAAAGGGTCCATATACACAACTAGTAGATACTTTGGCCTTACAGTAGTCCCTATATAGATACTTGGGGGCCAATGTATATATTATATGAGTACATGGACCTGTAGGGTATGGAATGTAATACCGTGGAGATTCCCCTAAACCCTAAACCCTAAACTCTAACACACAGACCCTGTTGCACGCCTGACGGCCAAAGGCGAAGCACTGTCCGTCGGTCGACTCAACGCATCGCGATGCGTAGAAGACGGCGTTGGAAGGCGGAGCCTCAAACCGAAGTTCTACCCTTAACTCTAAGGTTGAACCCATCGGCCCCTAACATGGGCCCTTAGGGGATTCTAGGGTCCCTTAAGGGTATATATAGGGTATATAGTAGGTAGATTAGGGTCCCAGGGTTAAGGGCCCATACTAGGGGCCCATGGGTTCTACTTTAGATTAACCCTAACCCTCCAGGTGCCTACTATATAGGGCCCTAGGGGCTCTAGTACCCTACCTAGTAGGTACCTGGGGGGTTAGGGTTAAGGGTTCAGAGCACATGTGGGTTCCCTTGGCGTGTATTTATGTTAGCAGTAGCAAGCATACCAATAGTAAATATGCCGATAATTATATGGGTGTGTCAGGTGTGGAGAGCATACGAAGCTTCGGCAATTGCGCCTTGACGGAACTCGTAAATCAGCTGATGTCACAATGTCCGCTAAAGGTCGCAGGTTTGTCAGAGGCACAGGGCATAGGATCCACTCCGTATGATGTCCCAGGCTTGGTGCTGTGGTTGGTGTTTGGCTGTTCTTTTGCCGGACATTCATATGGGTTGAGCACAGCCTTATAGACCTTTGCGGAGAAGAATTGACACGGGGGCTTTGGGCTTGGGGTTGGATTCGGGGCTCAAGGTTTATTTCCGAAGTGCACAATAGAGGCAAAGAATGCAGCAGTGTTATACAGGCACGATGGTTTCCAGATAAACCACCTGCACGCACAAAAGCCTATACTCACTAGCCGGCGCACCTGCGGTGCCGGCACATGCTCAGTGAGAGCTCCCAGCAAGACGTCTGCCAAGGGCATCCACGCTTCCTTAGGTTTCGGGCTTGGGGCTTACAGGGCTTAGGGCTGAGGGTTCGCTTTGGGCTTTGAGTTTCATGAGGATTTTTTCAAGCTTCCCCCGATGGCACCCAAACTCCTTTTGCACAATGATGAATACGATATCCTCTCAAAGAGTGCCTGGTTGAGGTTTCTTCCAGGACCCAAACACTCAACAAAAACACTTGGTACGTACTTTACCAATGCTCTAAAATGAAATGAAAAAGTCACGAGTTTACGTTCCCTAAACGATTAACTCTCAACCCTACAGCGCTAAACGGTTAACTCTTAGCCCTAAAACCCTGAACGATTAACTCTTAACAGTGACACCCTAAACGATAAACCCTTAATCCTAAAACCCCAAACCGTATTAACTTTAACCGAGTGTTTACCCTTAACCCTCAAACCCTAAACGATGAACTCTTCACCCTAAAACCCTAAACGATTTACTCTTGGCTCTGTATTTCTAAAGGTCGAACTGCACTCTTCAAAGTCGGAATCCCCGAGCCGAAGCCCTAGGCTCGATCCCTAACTCCTAGCCCCTAATGTAAGGCCTTATAGTGATAATAGGAATAGGGTTTCGGGGGTATATTATATTATAATTAGAGTAAGGAACCCAGACTATTGGTACTTCTGTAGGCTTCTAGATTAGCCCTGAATCCCCAATCCCACTTTCTCAGAAACTAAGGCTTCGCAGCATGAAGGGTACGATACTTAAGACGCTTGATGATGAGGATGTTACTGCTCAGGATCTCAATCCGGGTGACTTCTTTGCTGAATTCACAAATCTTGCGGGCGGTTCCAAACTTCCGAAAGGTGAACTCAGAGGTTCAGTGTCTGCCTGTACTCCCAAAGCCTACCACTTTAACGAAGTGTAAAACGGAAATCAAATCAGACAAAGCTTCGTCTGAAAATCCTAAACCCTGAAACCCAGCTGCTGGGCTGAGAATACATAAGGGTTTAGGGCTTCAGGGTCTAATTCTACGGCTAAGCGTGTTGGGTTTAGGGAGTATAAGTATTAGGCTTCAGGGATATCGTTTACGGCTACAGGTGCCAAGTTGCCATTGCGCTTTGCTTCCAGGCATTTCCAGTAAGCCCTTCCTTCGGAGTGACGCCAAGCTCCTTCAAACATAAAGACCTAGGGTTGCAAACACACAGTATATCCCAGACCTCTTCATGATAGTTCAAAGACACACGACCAAAATCATATTTTGGCCCAGCAGCGATATGGCATATATGACAAGGGACGTTGAAGTTTCGCTATAAAAGTTTTGGCGAACGCCTCTAATGGAGATCCCTGACTACACCCCTCCTCTAACAACGAATCTGACAGGAATCCTTGAGGCACAAACAATACAGGGTGAACTGTGGCACTGCAGCACCTCAAGCCTTTTCATTCAATGTAAGCCCTACTACTAATCTGGAGTGCGACACCCGAAACCCATGACTCTCGCTGGATTCCGAACCCAAGGGCCTGAATCAGCCTTGCCGTCAACCACAAGTTTCCGAGCACAGCCCTCAACCCCTTGCCCAGAACGTCCGTGGGGGTTCCTTATTATAGTTATAGTATAATATACCCTAACCCTATTCTAATTCTTGAAGCCCCTATATTAAACTCCCCGCCAGGCATTGACCCCCCTTCATTACCCTGACGCCTCAACCTCCAACTCCCCCTTAAATCAGCAATCTACCATACATCACATCTCTCTTCTTAAACAACCAGGCCCAAAAAAGTTCAAACTTTTTAGGATAGACCAAATATATAAGGCCAAAAAGTTTAAAATTCTCCTATTGGCTAACTAAGACATGAACGATTCGCCCATGTTTCAAGTCATACTCCTATTCCTTAAGGCATGTTACTTTAGGTGAGGGCTGATACATCTTGGTACACCCTGTAAGCCCACATAAACCACTACAATTTCAGGATATCTTAGGCACATTCCTGGGAATTGAGTTCAGGGCCTCAGCTTTAGGATTTATTTGGGCTCGTTAGTTAAGGCATATGTCTACTTGAAGGATCATGGCACTTAGTAAGTAGGGTTATAACTAGGGTAACTATACTTAAAACCCCAATTAAGTCCCATGAACCTACAAGTAGGGGTTTGGTGAAGTCTTGGGCCAACTCCCGTCCTGCAAGCGGGCTAAGCCCACATCCTCTGGAGCCTCCAAGGTGGCGTAGATGCCTCGGATTTGCTGAAGGACCTGAGCAACAGTAGGTCATGGTTCTGGGCTTAGGGTTTAGGCTTTAGGGTTCTGGGTTTAGGGTTTAGGGTTCAGGGTTCAGGGTTTAGGGTGTAGGGTTTGGGGTTCAGGGTTCAGGGTTCAGGGTTTAGGGTGTAGGGTGTAGGGTGTCCCTTGAAGGGTTTAGGTTGACCCTTGAAGGGGTTTCTTAAAGCCTTGGGTTGCTGACTCCTGAAATCCTCGAAACTCATTCTGCTCTGCCTTCGTCAACCCAATGAGCAACCGAGAACCCTTGCAGAGCCCTTGTAGTAACTCTAAGGGTCCGTGTGCCCAAATAGTAGTGTAGGGGCCTAAATATTTACCTCTACTATTTTGCGGCCTCCTTTTTATATTTTAAAAATATAATGGGCCGCAAAACCCTGTTCGAATTATTAAGGCCCCTATATTAGTAACTCTAAGGGTTCATGTGCCCAAATGGTACGTACTTAGGCCTTAAAGTAGTCCCCTTACAGGTGTACTACTTGTACATGGACCCTTCGGGTAACCCTGATAGAACCCTTACGGTAATCCTTACGGTAGCGCTTAAACACTACCGAAGCCCTAGATGGTAGTACTTGTCTACAAATAACCTGTTCTATGGCTATGATCCGATATTCAAAAATCAAGGAGCCAAAAACAAGAGTTACACGTAGTGGTCTCGCTAGACTAAACCTGCAAAGGGGCCAACTTGCAAAAGCCACGCTCACCGTCAGAGTTCCGCCAGCGGCCATTGTAGAAATGATCGCCCCATAAGCCTAGATTCCGGATTTAGGGTTTACGGCTAGGTAACAAGAAGGAAAGAAGCAAGGATCAAGTTATGGGCTCCGTTCTATACTACAAATGATTAAGGAACTCTATCATATAGGGTTCCTTAACAATGTGTAGCATAAAAAAGGGAGCCCATAAGCACGATATATACAAAACATAACATTCAAGAGGATCAGTAAGGCTGACCAAGAAACGAGGACGCAACTTCTCAACCTGCTCCGGGCTCCAGTCTTTTCCTTTTTGGGCCACATATTCCGGGGCTTTGTGGTAGGGCTTTCTACAACCTTCAATCCCTACACCTACACCCCAAACTCCAAACCAGAAAGACTCTACCCTACCCGAAGCCTAAACCCGTAATCCGTAAATCTTGCCGAAGGTAACGGGGCTGAAACACATCAGGGGTCAAGGTACAGGGCTTTAATAATCAGAACAAGGTTGATTTTGTGGTATATTCGGTGTCTAGTATGGTATACCTCTAGCGGGACTCAGCGGGACCATGAGCGGGATAGGGGGACCTGAAACTTAGCATTCCTAAGCTTGCAGGGGAGTATATGATGATAAACTTACGTTGGGAACCCTGAAATAATCTGATGACCACATGTTTCTGTAAAACCCTCAGACACTCTGTTAAAATCAGCATAAACGAACCACAGGCAGGTCGGCCGAGAAGCGAGACGCCATCTCCATCAAGAACTGTTCCAAAGTGAAGCCCCAGCCACCAATAGACCTGGGCTTCGGGTTTGGGTGCAGGGCTTGGAGCTGAGAGGGGTTTAGGGTTTAAGGTTGAGGGTGTAAGGTTAGGGGTTCAGGGTTTAGGGTTTAAGGTCTGGGGTTTAGCGTTTTTGGGTCTCGGGGTTTAGGGTTTATGGGTTTGGGGTTTAGGGGCTTGGGTTTCAGGGTACTTCAGTACCTCGGCAGAAAGCACAACTGTTGACAGTTTTTTCATAACCCCCAAAACCTAGTACTGCTGTAAGAGCCAATCAGCAAAGTGCCGTAGGGCATACTGGGTCTACTGTACATAGTAGTATGTATATGCAGTATGCATGTATGCATGTATGCATGTATGCATGCATGCATGCATGCATTGATGGATAGATGGATGGATGGATGGATGTACGCGTGCCAATGTACGCTTGTATGTAGAAGTTGATAGGATGCCAGAAGAGAGCCAAGGGACTCTGCGACACTCAGAGAGCCACGTCCAAAGACGATGCTACCGTCCTCCACTTTCAAAGGCCTCAAAGAGGGCACGCCGTCCATCGCGCCGTTCCTGGTTCCAATGATCACTGTTGATCCTTAAACCCTAAACCCTAAACCCTGTTGGGGCTATATTAAAAATGACCACTGTGGATCCATATTGGGTTTAGATTATAACAAAAAATGTAAACTTGTAGCCAAAACGGAGCCAGGTACAGCCTGTCCACGATCAGGGAAAGCCGCTGGTAGCAAAGCTCGTTGTCAGGCTCCAGGGCCAGTAGCTTGTCAAGCTTGTTCCTAAGATCTCGGTCTCCCCTTCTTCTTTCCTCTGCTTTAAGAAGGGAAGGGTTCAGGGTTTAGGGTTTAGGGTTTAGGGTTTAGGGAACCCCATTATTATAAAGGCGGATGCTGCGTGACCAAGGCTCAGAAACAGGACCGGCTGCAATCCATGTGTAACTGCGGACCCAAAGGTGGTGCAGAAATTGTCAGTCAAGCCTTCTGCACAATCCACTACGACTAAAAGACCATCCACGAGCGGAAAACAGTCTGTGATCTGCTGGGTGTCCCCAAAATGTGGGGCCACGAGGTGCAGCAAGCAGGGCAGGTCATCCGGAGGATCGAACCGAAGAGGGAGCGAAATCCACTGGCTCTGATGACGCTCCTTCGTGTTCGGTAGAAGCTTCTTAGATACAGCTTTTCCGGTGCACGAGCGGTGTCTAGACAAGTAGCCCAGAAGGCTATCTTGACCATGGTCTGTCGGTGCCACGACCAGAATATGGCGCATGCGCCCACGGTGCTCAAGTGCTGGGCGAAGCCCCGAAAGTAGATCCTCTTGCTTGCAGGCTTGCTGCGAGTATCCTGGGCTGTCACAGGAGGACCCTTGAACATCATATCTGCTCTTCGGTGCTCTTGCTCATAAGAACAAGCTGGAAAACAGGATTGTTCAAGAACCCTGAACCCTAAACCTGTTCAAGAAAAGCCCGGCATCTAGCGATGCCATGACGGCTTGTCAAGCAGAATTGCCTCGTTGGCACAGCGATCAGCTGGGACTCCAGCATTTCGGTCCAAACTGCTTTCAAGGGCGAGAAGCAGGTGTCGTCAAAGACAACCTTACATGCCAATGATATCAAAGAGCAGCAGTTTGGAATGGCTTCAGAATTAGTTTAGGTATTTTTTTGTTTTTTTTCCGGTATTTTTTTTGTTTTTCTCTGTTTCACGCAAACAGTACCTCATTTGGAAGCTCCACACCCCGGCTGTGCGCTAGCAGCGAGGGTGTGGGTGGGGTGGGGTGAAACACTGAATGTTACACATCCAGGTGCCTATCTGTTTCACGTATCACTTGCATGTTTC